CCCTCTCCCGGCGGCGGGGGGTGGTGAGCGGGTCTCCCGCCCTTTCGGTGGCCCGGCGCCGCACGGGAGTTTCACACAGCCGGGCTGTCCGTCGGCCGGGGCACACCGGCTGAGGGGAGCCGAGTGAGCCCACACCCGACAGCGCTCGTTGCTCAAGTCCGTTACCTGGGCCGCGCCGGCTCCTCCGCCCGGCTCTGTGGTACCCGCGTCCAGCTGGGCTAAGCGGGCTTAAACTCATCTGCAGGGTGGTTCACCTTGCTGTGGACCTGTCCCTTGATTTTCACATCGTGTCCGGCGTGGCGTGGCTCTGCCCGGGCTTGTGCCAGCGGCGGGGGCCGCCCGGGGGCCCTGGGGCCGACCCTCAGGGCAGAGAGGCTGTTACCAGCCTGATGAGGTCCGTGAACTAACCGCGCTTAGGAAAGAGGCGCGGTTCTTCCCACTCCAGCAGCTGCACGGAAGAGGGAACTGGATTCTGCTTGGGCTTATTATCAGCCAAATTTTAATTGCGAACTGCTGCCTGTCGCTGTTATTGGTAGCGAAGCAATGGCCCAGAACATCAGAGCGTGATTGTTCAAGCTCTAAATTGTCTTTGAAGAGTTTGCCTTTGGAGGAAGTGTCTTAAACTGAAATGGAAGTTACCAAGGCGTGATAAATGCAGGACTTCACAGTTCCCTCTGCAGACAGGCGTTGTAATGTGTTTGTGCTGTTATGGGGCATCTCGTGGCACGGTATCTCTGATGCTGTAAGTCTGTCGATTCAAAGGGGCTAATACGCATCATTACTAAAACAGTTGGGGTAAAAGTTACCTCAGAATCCCTGTAAGTCTGTCGATTCAAAGGGGCTAATACGCATCATTACTAAAACAGTTGGGGTAAAAGTTACAAACTCAGAATCCTAGAAAATAATACGTTTTATAATGTGCAGTAAGAAGTTACAGTCTTTCTAAGAAAAGCCAAATGTAGTGTTTGTCTAGAGTTTTTTTTAATTTGTTTTTTAAAGGATATATGTCTGGTGAACACTTCCAGAGATGCTACAAAAGCGGAACGTCCCTTTAGTTTCCTTCCTTATAGTTAAAAGTGGAATCCAGCAGACATCTGTTGTTCGAGACAGTCAAAAGAGGATGTTGAGGCTCATGCTTTGAACAACCAAAGCGTGCGAAGGACAACTCTTCTGTAGTGGAAAGCTCTAAAATTCAGCTGCTACTAGGAAAAAATTGTTGTGTGGGGATTCATCCAGTGGCGCTTGAATACATGGAAAGTAAGGGAATTTTCCCTTTTCAGCTGCCTATTTATGAAGTTTCCCACTGTTTCATAACCTTGGATTTATTAATTCCAGACTGGTGATTGTTGCTGGATAGGCATTCTGGTGACCGTAGGAAAAGACAAGGTATTCAGAGTACTTTTAAAGTAACAATAAAGGTTCGTGGCTCGCAGCTTTCTGATCCAGATGAAAAAGGGGAAAATGCAGGTGGTGTGATCAGAAGTTCTTCAGGAAGAAATTGAGAAGGCTTTTCTTAACATTGTATATTAATGCTTAAATATAGAATAAGGAATATGCTATTTACATGGTACTTTGTCATATCTGCTGTCTGTGTGCCAGTTGTCTTTTGTTAAGAAGTTTGCAAAAGGTGTGTGTGGGAAAGAGGCAGTTAGAGTAGGCATTTAGGTAAGGGATGCATTCAACGGAATTCTGTGAAGTGTGTGAGTCTGTGCTGTTTGATATGGTGCCACGCAGGCCACTGTATCAACAGTTAGGGAATGACAGCAGCTTGGGAAACCGTTGTAGCGCGTAGCCCTTCTGGAAGGCAGATGGATTAGCATGTCTAACTCAATTAGCTGTGTCTGAATCTCTAAAAGTTTGATGGTTTTCCACATTTTTTTGTGCTTGTCAAAAGCAAGGGCCAGAACCATGAGTTTTGACCTGCAAAGTTGTGTATTTTGATGTTATTGACACTTTCTGTGGTTTCAGTCCAGGTTCCTGTTTGGAGAGTGCAAATATTTGCCACTTTTGATACCGCACTTCAACTGACAATTACAGTGTTACTAGTGCTGCACTTACCGTTACATCTATTGCTGACAAAGAACCTTTATCCGCAGTCTAATGCGGCAGTACTATTCTGTGATGGGGGAAGGCAACTTCTATAAGATTCTTCCCTAAAATAATGCTCCAGCTAATGTAACTGCCTATTTGTTGGCTTAGTATAGGGTTCTTCTCTAAAATAGTGGTGCTGTTACAATAAGCACTTAATCATTTGCTGCATTTGTAGAAGCAGCTGGCCACTGCACATCATGCATGCAGTTGTGTTATGGTCATACACTCAGTGGAAAGTTTGCTTCAGCAGGGACTCTACAACTGTGCTCTGCTGTGCATGCTTTGTTGGCTTTCTCTGCCTCTTGGTTTCTAACCCGACTAAAAGATAGCAAGCACTCTCCTGTGACATTAAGAAATGTAGTTAGCCTAAGTATAATCGGTTGTACATTCTATGTGTTACTTTTACAGAAATATTGGTGAAAGAAGTGCAATTTTGTAGTACCCTTTTTGATGCACAAAATTATCTCCCGGTTTTCAGTAACAGCAAATGTCTGCCTTCCTCATTTAAATGATCATACGAGTGGATACATTTTGGTTGTTAAACATTGGTATGGAGCTTGTTATTTCCAAGTGTGTATTATATAACTTTGTCACTAGATGATTTTAACAGGAGAAAGTTATCTTTAAAAATAGCAAACAGATAAATAGGTTTCAGGAGGGTCATTCATGTAATTACACTTATTGCAATATTGCCTTCTAAAATAAATTGTTTCAGACTTTCACTAAATTGTACTTCAGTAGAAGTATCATTTTTAGGGTAATTTAGTAACGTGTTATAGGATATGGATTTGGGGATTAGCTTTTTGAGTCGTTTGTGGGAAAACATTTTTCCTATCTTTTAAGCTGTTAAAAAAGTTCTAGAAATCACACATCAAATCTGCTAAGTGAAACCAGCATGTGGAGTGGGAAGTTATGATCCTAATTGGGGGGGTCACTTTTGTATTAGAAAAAATGTTTGTGATGGCATATTTAGTGGGGTATAATAAAAATACCCAACAATTTTAATATCCTCATAAAATTTCAGAGTGTTTCCTATTGTCATGTATCATGTGCAGCCTATTTACATTTGTGCTGAAGGGGAATGTTAATGTTTTATGGCGGTTGCAAAGGAACACCGAACATGGGGATTAAGGGTACTCAGCCCGGAGGGAGAGATCTTGATCAGTGCCATGTGCAGCACACAGACCTGAGCCCTCCAGAGCTGTTGGCATGTTCCCTGGCATGGCTTTGGCCCCTGCCAGCTGTGTTGCCCCAGGCACAGTGGGAAGGGTGGTACCAGCCAGGCGATGTCCCCAGCAGGCTGTTTGGATGCAGTTACTGTGTTTTTGGGGGACTGCTCAGGACAAGAGCTGTGCTGCACTACCTGGATCCAAGAGCGTTCTCTGGCCTTTTGTGTTTACTATATGCAGGCAGTCCAAGGGCCTGCCTCCATTGTGACACTACGGCTGGAGTCCCCTGCCTCAGTGTGAACTGATGCTGGGAGCTGTAGCCTGGGCTGAGCTGGGATTGTGGCTGCTAGTGGCACCCGCGCCAGCTCAGCAGAGCTGCCCCACACCTGCGCCATCCCATAGCCTCTGCTCTGGGGAACTCCCAGCTTGAATAAGTGAGGCAAGGGGTACATGAAAGGGTTGCATTGTACGAGCGATAGGCAAGCCTCATCTCTGTACCGCAGTACTTTTTGGGTTGTGGGGAGCTGGTTAAGTGAGGAAACAAACTGAGTAACAGAGTCCTGTACAGCAAGGCTCAGCAGAATGGGCAAGAGGAAGAAGTCGTGTAGGTCTTCCCTTCAAAACCTAATTTTTCTCTAAGGCTGTAGGAGGAGAAGGTAGGGAGAAAGGGAGCAGGGTCATAGGAGAGTGCAGGGTTTGGAGAGTGACAAGGAGGAGCAGGGGGAACGTAAACGGTGGGTGGAGTTGGGTTGTGCTGAGTCGGCTGGAAGTGAGAGGAAGCTGGGGAGAATGGTGATCAGGGAGGATGCAGAATGGCCAGCAGTAAAATGAGAGAACAGTGAAAGCAGCTGAGGGGAAGCAGATCGGTATATCCCGGGTGCATGGAAGCACTTGTTCTGGCCTTTGTCTGCTCACCAGAAATTTTTTTTAGGTTCTCATGGCACTGGGTCTGCCCTGTGTTGCATTGGCTCATTGAAATACATGTTCTTCAAAGTAATCATTAATGTTCACTTAAAATTTGCCTGGAAAAGAAACACTAGAAATAAAATCTCACTCCCATATGTTCTGTGCTAAATCATATATTAAATCAGGGAATGGCCTGGTTCTTCAGACAGCTGCCATTCTGCTTGCAGGTGAGAGTGATCATAACAAGAGATTCAAGCTCCTCAGAGGTAATTGTGTTCTGCTCCGATGTACTTGGCTATTCCCACTTAAATCTCACAGATTTTACTGAGATTAGATGCCCAGATACTTTGAGTCAGGTTCCCAAAATAAATTTTGCAAGCGATAATCAAGAACCACATCCTTTTGCATGAGGGGAGGGGAAACTGAGGCACAGTTAACTCACTGTACTCCTGTGTCATGTATGAAGTCTTCGGTAGTGGTTTGGAGACAATCCTCAGGTTCTGACTCTTGACCTTTAACTAGCAGACTGTGTGTTTCTTATATAGAGCTGTAGGTATACTTGCTGCTTTGAAGACCAGTCACAGTCCTTACCCAAATTGGTTATGATCTTGGATCCTGAAAGATTTTGTGCAGGCATAGAGTCATGCACTCATTGTGTAAGAAATTTCAGGCTGGTGCTGTAACTGCATCATAGAGTGAGAGCGGGACAGGCGAAGGAGAGACAGAATTTACACATGAAAAATGTAGCCTGCAGTGACCATTTGCTTGATCGCTTTAGATGCATTCCTTTCTTTTACGTCTCTATTTACTTGGGGCGTGAGTGTAGATCTCTCAGTATTAGGCAATGGGTATGGAATCCATGGCTCCAGAAAGTTTACCTCTTTTCCAGCTTTGTAATTTCTCCTGTATAAAAAACCCACTCCTATCAAGGGAGAAGAGGAGATGTTCATTCATTTAAAACAGTGGTCCATCTCACTGTTAGAAAAACAAATAGGCTTTACAGGTCTCTACCAACCAAAAGTCAGTAGGCTGCTGTCGTGCCAATATTTTGTAGGGCTTTAACCTTAGCATTTATCATTCTAGCTACCAACTGAAAAGGGCATCTGATAGTATAGCTCTGCATAGATATTTTTTTGAGATACTTGCTGAGGTTTAGTTTCATGGTGGAGGAAGGGTTTTTTAACAGAGCTTAAGCAGAAGTTACTAAGATCCATATTTCCACTAAGTTGGTAGGGAGAAATGAAGGGGTTATAAAAATAAACAGAAGCTGTATTGATTACAGTAAGAGTTTTGTGCACCTTTCCAGTGTGTAGTGACCTGAAGTGGAGCTCTTAGCCTGACTTTTCATGGCCTGCACTCCTGCTGTCTTCTCTGGGCATTTCGTGTGTGAGAGGAAAGGAGGCCAAGCGCTTTATGTCTGTTTTAGAGTTTTTCAGATCAGCAGTAAAATTCCTGGAGTCTTCCCAAGTAATAGGTTTTCTAATGGGTAGCCAGCAAACAATTTTTTTTGGCGTCACCAGCCTTAGATGTAACGTACTTGTCCCTGTGATAAAAAAATTAAAAAATGTACACCATCTCTCTGTGAGAAGGCTGGCTGGCAGATAAGATGTGGGCACAGTCCCGTACACCTTATAAAAGCAGAATTTCAGTGGACTTGCAAACAAACAAACAAACAGAAAAAACACCCAAATACCACTTGCCCAATAGCAGGTCGACTCAGCTGGAATGAGGCTCCTCTGCCAGCTGTCTTTCCTCCCATTAGACTGGGTTAACATATTGGACTAGTTCTCCTGCTAAACAAAGCATTATTTTTCTTTCTCTCTTTGCCTTTTTCCAACCTCCAGTGATGATTCTTTTCTTAAAAATAAATTTCATGTGTGTGACTGGCCAGGATTTGCTTTATAGAAGCCAATGTTGTTGACAGTGACAGAACAAAAGGCAAATGGTCCTTTTACTACTCAGGCTGCGGTCATTATGTTCCACATGCAAAAGGTGCTTGAACTCCTGTAAAACAGTGACAGTGCCTACTTACATGCTCATGAATTATCTAACTGCAAGGCATTTTTGCCTCCTTAAAGGCGAAGCAGAATTCAAATATGTGTGTGTGTTTATTTTCAGTTTTATGGTGTTTCCTTTAAAGAGAGCAGCTGTAATCCAAGGGTGCAGAGGGCAGTGGGGAAGAAATGCAAGTGACATTCATTGCTTCTAATAAAGATGACGTTTTTTTCCATTTTTTCCAGAAATAAATGACAGCGAGGGTCACCCAAGCAGCAGCCACCAAACCTTGAAAGGAACCTCAAAATGGGCTACATCACTGGAGAACCTCCTCGAAGATCCAGAAGGAGTGAAAAGATTTAGGGTTGCTATATTAACTATGGATCTTTATATAAACTGAAATTAGGATTTAAAGCTGAGTGAGTCGCAGCATAAATGGTGCAGCTGTGCCAGTGCTGTAAGCACATAGGCATGCATCCTTCTAGATACGTACCCTGAGCAGAGGTGGCAGAGTTGGAGCTGTGGCATTTGCTGAGCTTTTGAGGTAGTGCCTTTGCCCACTGCCACTGCAGCTTGCTCTCGTAAGGCACATAGAAGACTTCTGGTTGCATCTTTCTAATCAGATATATCAGCTGTTGCAAGGATTAACAAGTTACTGTTGGTTAAGTTACAGTCCTTGAGCCACTGATCTCTTGCCAAGCATTATTTATCACTGAGGACTGATCCTGCGCTCTTTATTCTCATACATTGTCCTTACTTAAGCAATAAATTACCACTAACAGCTCCTGAACCTGATAACTCTGTGTGGCTCTTATTCTGTGTTGCAGCAGTTGTACTGAAAAGAATTCTCTTTAAGTTTACAACAAAGTACGGGCTTGTGCAGCTCAAATGCAGGTTTGAGGCTTAATTAGGTGAGGGTGGCAAGTTGGTTTTTCAAGGCCTTCTTGCCATATTAGCTATAGGAATAGGAACTACCTACTTGAGTATGGTTTTGCCATACCAAGCACTGATAAAATGCGCTGGGATAAAATGGTTTCCTGCCAGACTGGTTTGAAAAGTGATGTAAACTGGAATTACAAAACACCATGATTTGGAATTCTTTAAAAAAAAAAAGTAATCTTGGTGCTATTTAATTCTTGGTGTTTCTTAATCTCTATTTTCTAACACTTGAAAGAGAAAACTGATGATCTCGGAGCTATAAATACTTCAGTCGTTATGTTTTATAAAGAAATTTAATGTACGTTTTTCCCCATTTTAAAACATGCCTCACTTTTGGAGGAATGTGCTCTGCTTAAACACTGTCTAGAGAACGCAAATACATCTTCTGCTTTAGTTTACTTAAGTGAATTTATTGCCACTGATGATCATGTTTAGAAACACTTTTATTTGTAGAGATTTTACTCATTAAAAAATCAGAAAGATACTAGATGAGAATATCAAGTGATCTGTGACTCTCATTAAAATAGTTCATTATACTCACCTGCTAATGAATTCATATATTTTTGGATTTCCCTTTGAGTAATGACTGTAAAATTGCTCGAGTTATTTAAGGGAGACTGAAGAAACTCTTCTTCTTAGTTACTGATATGCTCCGAGATTAAACGTAGCTCATCATTCTCCTGCAATGTGCTTTCAAAGTGCTGAATATATGATTGTTCATTTGTGTCTTGGTAGTGTGCAGATGCACTAATGCAGTGGTTCTGTTACGCTGTATTATGTAAACTCATACTGTGGTAAAGCTAGCCGTAGGCAGCTTCTAGTTTTAATAGCTATAGTAGGAAGAGAGAAAAACAATTGAGAAATTGGATCCTAACGTTTGTTTGTTTGTTTTTCTTTTCCCTAGGAATTTTTGAAGAAAGAATTTAGTGAAGAAAACGTTTTGTTCTGGCTAGCATGTGAAGAATTTAAGAAAACACAGGGCAAAAAACAGGTATGGTTTCCTAAATAAATTTTACTTGTTAACAAAATTTCTGTAGCAGAGCTGGAGCTATAACGTTTCTGTTGCATAACATGCTTCATGTGAGTGCAAATAAATATATTTGAAGAAATTGCACTGAAATCACGGTGGTGGAATTGTTTGGAAACAAAGCTGGTTCTATTTCAAATCAAAACAAAATGCTGAAATTGTCAAGTTTCCCATGTTTTGAAAACTCTGAACTTTTTGTTATTGCTTGGGAATAGCAAAAGGTTTAATTCAGTGATGTTGCATCATCTTGCTTGAAAATATAAAGACATTTCATTCAGGACTTTTTTTAAAGCATCTTTGCTATTACATGAAAATATACACCATTATAATATTTTAGTGGAACATAAAAATAACAAGCAGTGCAAACAAAATGTTTTACAATACCAAAATGAAAAGTTTTGCCTTATCAAATTACAAGTTACAAAACAAAAGAAATTGAGGGTCCATTTAGACTTTTTTGTTTAAAAATTTATTCAAATTGATATATACCTGTAGAGCATTTTCATTTTCATGAAAGCTATATTTTTCTAGTAGAAAATATTCTATTGGAAATTTTTCAACCAGCCACTCCCAGTAAGTTTTTCCACTGCTTGGATCTTGGTCTACATTTAGATCCACCAGGAACACAGCATCCACTTTCACATTTAGGCTTTGAAGCCTATAGAATCAGGCCTAAAATATGTATCATGTTTTGTTTGCTTGTTTCTGGAAAAAGTTTTTTTTATTTTTTTTATTTTTTTTGAGAAATTCCAAATTTATTTGATCTTTGAGATGACGATTCTGTGAGCATGAAATGAAGTAGTTTCAAAACTCCAACTGAGCACCACTGTCCTTGAGAATCAGACTCCTAAATCCCATAAGTCCTTTTTTTGAAAACCCACCTTTGTGCTTTTCATGTGTGCAGCTCTTGTTGCCAAAGGGAGCATTTTAGAAGGCAACGGGTGCAAATGTACATTCCCTTTTGCACTCTTCTGGCGAAAGGAAGCAGAGTACCATGAGGAGGTGAGGCTGGGAAAATGCCACTTAAACCTGCTTCAAATGGGACCATACGTGCTTTGAGTAACATCAGGAACGTCAGGGAATAGGAATCAGGTGGGGGAACTGAGCTAGTAGGGGCATTATAAAGTGCAGGCATAGGAAAGCTGCGTCCGGACTGCAGGATTCCTCTCTTAAGGTCAGTCAAATGTTGTCAGCTGAAACTGTTTCCCAGCAGATTTTCAACAAAAAAATCCCTGGATTTTCAACAAAACATATTTTTGAGAGGGGAGTGTACTTTCTGTAAATATTCTCTATTTTGCACTGAAAAAGCATTCCCCTCAAAACAATTTGCTTGTTTCAGTTGTGAATATTTTTTGGTATTGATAAATCCATAAAAAAATTACAAAAATAGTAATTTTTGCAAGAAGAGGAAAACGCTCAGTTTGACTGCACACTTTGTAATATTTAGCACTATTTCAGCTTTGTGTATTTAGTTGCTTCCCTCTCTCATTAAGGTCCACGCATGCAGATAGTCTTCAGAAAAGAACAACTAATCGGGCTATTTTTCTGTAAGGTGCAAGGCAGAAAGAGAAATAAAGTAAATGAGATGGGATAAAAGAGGGAACTGTGCTAGATGCCACTATGATAGCAGCAGTATCAGTAGCTGGAGTGAGGCCGGGAGTCCTCCTCTCCCTTTGCTTGTAAGGGAATGTTTCAACTGCAGCCTGTCTGGGTTGCACTGGAAGCTTACCTCCTGTCTGGGCAAGCGTGGTACCGTCAGTCCCACTGACCTGGCTCTGCTTTGGCACAAGCTGCAGATCTCATTGTTCTCAGTTTGTGACAAAGCATTTCCTTTCTTTTGTCCCCAAATGTCCATACAACATCTTGGCTGGTATGTTCAGTATGCTGGGCTGGGGATCTAGGTATTCTTGATCTCCCTACTCCATTAAAAACATTTGCTTTCTGAGCTGGTGAAGTAGAGGCCAGCCTAACAGTCCACAACCAAATAGGAAGAACCCTTTGCTTTGTACAGGGCAGATATTTTTTCTTTGTACGTCGTACAGTGTCCTTGCCAAGAGGTATGTAGCCTTTTTTTTTTGCTACCCCTTGAACAGGTATCAAACTGCATTTTAAAATGGAATGAAAGTAGAAAATCCTTCTGTAAGGTCCCACGTTTTGCAATGGGATAATAATCGTATTTTCCCTTGCTAAATAATTTCCGTCTTTTTAGCTCTTTTAGGATTGCACATTCTAGTACAGGAAATAGTAAACTGATGTATAGAGATAGTAGCTTAGTGAATTCTTGAATGAATTGCCAAATGAATGGACAGAGACTTAACTAGGTTCCATTTAGCTTAATTATTCAGTACCAATCATTACACAGTATGGTCAATCTGGAGTCTAGTACTGCCAAAGCTATTATAGCTGGCTAGAATAAATGGGCTTTAGAATGACACAGAGTTACAGTCAGTTTTTATAGCTACTGCTTATGGATGGCTTGGTTTAGATAATTTACAAAGCTAGAAAAAGCACTAAAAATAGAAATCTTTCCAGTGTTTATGATAGCATGAAGCATGAATTTGTCTTCTGAAAGTGACTCTTGCAGAAGTCGCTTTGTATCTATATAATGGGAGCAAAGTATTCTAAAAACAACTTTTTACTTGTTTTGTAACCTGCTTCTCATTAAAACTGGTTTACCACAGAAACTAGCTCATAGACACTTAGACTTTTGGTCAGATGAAGCTGATTTCAATTTAACCTGGATTGAATGGGATTTTTTTTTCTCCTATTTTTAAAGTATAAGATAAACTTTTCATTACTTGATGTGAGAGTGTTAGCATGGGGTTTTTCTTGGTCAGTTTAAACTTGCACAAAGGTCACCACCTGGCCAGTGGATTAAGTAGCCCTTGTGCCTAGTGTTATTGTCACCCCTTCTGTGTCAGCCTGGAGCAGTGTTTGGTTTTGTATAGGCTGGTATACCATTAGGGTGGTTGGCTCAGTAAATGGTCTGTCCTTCCCTCGTGTTCTTTCTGGTCTTTGCAGGTAGATGCAGGCTCACTCTGCTCCTGCTTTCTGTTGGTTGCAAACTGTCTTAACTGCATTAGTGCCATTCTAAGAAAATATCCTGGGCCTTTCCTCAAGACTTACTAAACTTGGTTCAGTTGTTACTCTAACCACAGTCACACGGGCTCTGCCTAGAAGCTGACTTATATCAAGCCAACACAGGCAGATCTTGCAAGATGCTGTGCAGATACATCTTCTCTGTCCCCTTCCTCTTGAATGTGAGCCACTATGCAGCTAGGATTGCTAGATCATGGGACCAAAGGGAGCGCTGGCAAGAGGAAGCCAGGCTCTTGACTGTTGTGTTGGCTCTAGACTAGTGATGGGAACGTTAGTCAGGAGAAGGCAGAAATGGAGTTCAGACCAGACTGCTCCATGAGTTTGTGTTTGTTTTCCTGTTTGGGTGAGCTAATACAAAATGTATGCATGTTTCAGGGAGTGGGGGAGGTTTTTCAGCATCTGCAGAGCTAGACAGCAAGCAGACTACATTACTGGTCTAGGCGGGTTTTAGATGGACTGGATTCAGCCTATCTTCTTGCAACAGGAAAGCACAAACTCCTCCCCTCAGCTCAAGACACATCTCTGTAGTTTTTTTAAAAAAAAGGATATTCCTTTCAAATTGAAGTTAAAACAGAAATGTAATTTTAGCGAAGATTGAGGAGAATTAGGTCTGTGTTGGCTCTAGACTAGTGATGGGAACGTTAGTCAGGAGAAGGCAGAAATGGAGTTCAGACCAGACTGCTCCATGAGTTTGTGTTTGTTTTCCTGTTTGGGTGAGCTAATACAAAATGTATGCATGTTTCAGGGAGTGGGGGAGGTTTTTCAGCATCTGCAGAGCTAGACAGCAAGCAGACTACATTACTGGTCTAGGCGGGTTTTAGATGGACTGGATTCAGCCTATCTTCTTGCAACAGGAAAGCACAAACTCCTCCCCTCAGCTCAAGACACATCTCTGTAGTTTTTTTAAAAAAAAGGATATTCCTTTCAAATTGAAGTTAAAACAGAAATGTAATTTTAGCGAAGATTGAGGAAGGAATTAGGTCAAGTCCACTTGTAGCAGTGAGCTCTGCTGCCACCCATATGATCCTCATCTTAGGACACATTTAATTATTGAAATGGAAGTGGTGGGGATAAGTGAATAAAATTTAACTTTAAATATTTTATTGCAGTTAGTCATATGCTGTTGCATTTGTGACTGTTAATGAAATAAACAACATGTCCATTGTGCTACTTCCCAAGTTTTAAATGTTTCTTCTCTTGCAGCTGAGCTTTAAAAATAAATTACAGATTGTAATAAATGCTTCAAACAACAAGGAATCTTTTCAGCTATTGCAAAAACACACCAAAATACCCATGTCGAGAAGTTTTATAGAGAACAATTTCGGAACAAAGTATACCTATTCAAGAGTTTCTTCTGCCACTTCCCATGTGGAATGTAGCAATGGTTAAGCAGGACTGGGTAATGCTGCACAGCTGCTAACTGCTGGAGCCTATTCTGATGAGCATCTGGGACTTCCATTCACCTCATTTGGGAACCACACATGCTTGAGAGCTGAATTTGACCTTAGGAAAGGAAGTGGGAAAGAATATTGTATCCACTTGAAATAGTGAGGGGGATTTCTGTAGACAGAACTTTGTACTCCAAATGGGAATTTGGCACGGATGCTGGGGCGAGCACACAGATGTAAGTGAAGAGTGCCAGAAATCCTTTAATAACCACCTGTGAACAAGATCCCAGTTTAAGTGTTGTTTAAATTCCAGAGTAGAGTCCCCTGTGCTGAGGCATTAGTTAGCCTGACACAGAACAAAGAATGCCACCCACCAAACGGGGAACATCGCTGTCTCCTCTGCCTGAACCTGGCTCTCCCTGAATGTCATTTGGGGGATGTATAAAGATACTGGCAGCTTTAACTGTACTTTCTTTTTAAAAAAAAAATATTGTAGTTAAACTGATGCTGTACTACTGAAGCATAGACATAGCATAACAGTTGTTCCACATGCAGCAGAACTTGTAATGTTTAGCTATGCATTTCCATATTTCCCCATTACTATAAAGTCAGGTCCCCTGTGTCTCTCAGATGACCCCATCTCCCTACCACAGCTCTTTCACTTCCTTTCTTCGTCATTCTTCCCCACAAAATCCAGAGATCCTCCCCATTTCACCAACCTCCCACACAATCCTCTTGTTTCCCTCCGTGTTCTTTAAACTTCCTCACAGTACTTCTAGTTTTGTGTTTCCCTTCAAGCCTTTCTCTACTCTTTCTCTGCAGTGCCCAGCTTGCTCCTGTGTTCCTTGGGCAAGCAGCACCTTGTGTTGTGGCTGACATGGAGCTATACGTGCATTGATTAGCCAGCAGCTAAGTACATGCTGGCAGTTCAAGTAGATAACTTCTGAACATATACTGCAGCTTTTCCCTTGGTGCATGTGCTGCTTTTTCTCTCCCTTTCCTTTCTCTTGCCATTCTTTTCCATTGAATCATTAGGAGGGTAATTATTTCTCAGTCCTTTGCCCCTCTCTTAAATATGGTTGAAATTGGACAGCAGGTTCAAAAATTATTTAGGTAGGACTGACAGTCAGTAAAATCACTTATGCTTGCTCATGTGATAATAGCTAAAGTTACCTTTACTGTGTCTGCATTAGGGTATTAACTTTACCAGTTAAAGCAGTCACACCTCTGATCAATTGGATTAATTGCTCATTTAGAATAGACATGGCTGACCCAGTCCTCCCTTGATCTGTGACACTGGAAAGATCGGAAATCATTAAAAACACTTCATTGTGACCTAATGCACCTGACACATGATGTTCTACCCATCAGATGAATAATCTGTTTTAAAAAGGAATACTCCTGGAAAATGTGTGTCCCCTTCAGCAGTGAGAGAGTTAACTCTTTAGGCCTTGTGAATTGTCAAACATACGTAGCTTTTCTTCTAATTACCCCCAAATATTGATTCTCAGCTGTAAAACATGAAAGAGATTCGGTGACTCCTTCATGGGCAAGGGTTTAAAAGCTTTCTTCTTCAAGCCCACTTCCCATCAGACACAGCACTTTAGTTGGTGCTCATCTGGAGATGCGGTTGCTCATTAGATGTACAATGGGGAACACTGACGAGTACCTGTGGCTTGGGATCGTACAGTGCCTGCTGCTGCACAGGCCTTGTCAGTGTGCAGAATTCAGATTGCAGCAGGGAGGCTTGCCTCCTGCCTGGCTTGGCTCTCTTCTCCCCTGCTGGCTTTCTCTTATCCAACCTTCTGGTCAAGGGGGAGCTTGCGCTGAATTTCAGAGGATTATGGCCACTCATTTACTGTGTTGAAGCTTAAGGATGCTAGGTAGGGTCAAAATGTTATCACCGTTACTGATTTATCAGGAGAAGACCACTGAAACAGGATTGCTGAAATCAGGGCAAACACTAGCAAACTGCTTTATGCAAATTACACCTACCCTCATTTATCAGCTTTCAGAGGCTCTTGAGAGTCTTACCTTTACCATTAGCCAAAAAAATACTTGTTGGATTTTTTTAATCATGTAGCCAGTGTTGCACGTGAGCTGCCCTGAGGTAAAAATGTAGTTATGACAAAGCATGTAGTATAACAAGTTTATCAGTAGCATGGATTATACACTAATTTTGCTTAGTTTTACCTTGCAGTAAGAGTAAGCTTCCACAGTGCTTTTTCCCTCTGGGTTCCTTGCGCATGCTGGTTATCTGTTAGTAAAAATAGTCTTCTAAATAGTGAAGACAAGGCCCGGTTGATGATGCTGAGCAGTTTTACACTGCATTCTCACAGCCTGCTGTTTAACCTAAGTGCCGAATACTGGTAGCTTCTACTGTCAGTACAGGAGTTGGCCTGCAGTGATGTTTTTCCTCTGGTACAAGTGAATATACATAAATAAGATAATCTATGTATATTTGTTTTGTTGCTTGTTTTCTTTTTTAATTCAGACTATGTTTTGGTTTTAAGATGTGAACCTCAAGAAGTAAGTGACCCAGAACAGTCTCCAATAAAACATTAACAAATACAGAGAATATTCCCACAGCAAATAATTCTTTAAATAAATGTGTCTTTTTGCAGATGCAAGAAAAAGCTAAAGAAATTTACATGACTTTCCTGTCCAGTAAAGCTTCCTCCCAAGTCAATGTTGAAGGACAGTCCCGTTTGAATGAGACCATTTTGGAGACACCTCACCCTCTCATGTTTCAGAAGCTCCAGGACCAGGTGAAGTTATTTTCTTGCAGAATACAGTTTCTTTAGTTTTTGTCTGCTTTTAATGGACTCTGCTTTCTAAGCACAAGCTAGTGTAGGAAAGTTGGGAATCTGCCTACAGCTACCCGTGGCATGGATTGAATAGGTAGGCACAGACCTGGGTTGCTTCCGTATTGGCGATATCAATGCAGCTGCTCTGAGGGTGGATGCACCGTACCCCAGGTTCTTGGCCCCATCTAACTAGGGCCAATTAGGTAAGAGACTCAGTGCAACCATGCTAATTCCAGTTCAGGACTTTCCTGGAAAATTGGATGAAATTTTCTCCTGGGTTCCTCTGCCTGTAGCTTGAGAATCACCCAGCTGACTAACTTTGTGCCTACGTTTTCCTGTGTATTCACTTGCGCTGAGTCATTGCTGATGTTTGTTTCCATAGTTGCCACTGGTTTCCTTGAAAGCTCAAGATTCTTCACTTTGCTTTGTTTTGGTATTTATATCAATATGAATATAATGCAATTTACTGAAAAGCCTCCTCTTCTGTAACACACAAAACTTAAAAGAGGAGCTGGTATCTGCTTTGCCTTTTCCTATAGGTCTTGGGAGGTCTGGTAGAAATTAGGTGACACTTTGCAGGCATGTCTTTAGGTGGTAAATTTTCTTGATATTTAGCTTATTTTAAAGCCTAAGTTATGAAGTGAGTCATTCTTACCTGCAGCTTTCCAGGACTTGCAGTCTGTACTATTTTTAATTTCTGTACCATCCTCAGGACTACCTGTATTTTCCATTTGGCTCTTTTCTTTTGTGGAGAAACAGCACGCAGATTTAAATAGTGTTTTCAACCCATTTCACATCAGCTACTGAATAGTTAGTTGGGCGCTGGCTGGGTCAATTGAAGTGGTCTGAGGAGCAAAGGCTCTGCTGTCTTTCAAGCAGGTTCCAGGTCATTAGCAGTGGAAATGTCTGAAACTCGATTTCCATGTGAAGAAGCAAAGTTTTTCATGGAAGAACTTCTGACTTGGGGGAAGGGAATGAAAATGTTCTGGTAAATCTAAGCACTGCAGTTCAGGGTGGGTGATTATGAGAGTGAAGCTGGAAAGACTACTGGAGTTAAAATGTTTTGCAAATTTTACAAATGAGCATGCACATGAACAACCAGGGATTAGTAATACCTGAACTGGAAACATGCTAGACCAGTGGTAGAGGAATCCCACTAGTGTGGGAAGAAAGTCTGTGAACTTTTAAAACCAAATGCAGAGCATTTATGGGTTGTTGCAGGTTTCCACTGCTCGAAGCTTCTGCTTATTGTTGTTAGATAGTAGTTCAGGAAGAGTTATGATCTTCTCTAGTTTTCAATCCTTATAAAGTTATGAAGAGTGGTATAATCTGTTCTCTAAAGAACAGTGTTAACTACTGCTGGCACTGTGTGTCTGAAGTATAAAAAGGCAGAGCTTGAAAGCCACAGTCCGGTCTACAACATTATTGGTAGCTAGCACTTCAGTTCTCCAGACACCTACTGATTTAAATGGGGCTAGTTGTGGGGTGTGGTTCTGTGCTCATGGGATGGCCTTAAACAAATAGCTTGGAGGCAGTTGTTCATGCTGAATGAAGTGGTGTTAGAGTGGTTCATAGAAATCTGTAGATTTCAAAATACGGGGTAAATGTTCCTGCTCCACGGAGGCGATGAGAGGAGGGGAGGGAAAAAGAGAATTCTGCTTTTGCACATGATCTGTTTGTTCTGTGCATTTGGCTGACCAGACTCCAGAAGATTTTGATCTTACAGTGCTCTTTCTCTCTGGGAGATGCTTCAAATGATACCAGAAACAAGAGGGGTCTAAGTTCTTAACACTGACTTACGACGTTTTAACAGGCGATGTCTTCCTTACAATTTTTTTTCCCTTGAGTTAGTTGGATAAATTTAATTATACTGTAGTTAGCCAACACCAGAAAGTGTAATTTGACTTTGCTTAACTGCATTGATTTGGGTCTACGTCAAGAGGGTGTCTTGGGATTTTTAGTCTCCCAATATGTAGTTTATAAAGCAAGATTTCCACTGTTTTAAACATGAACTTAAATATGTAAACAAACAGTGGGTAGTAAAATGCTTCATGTAATTTATTTGCAAGGGGGGTACTTCAGCAAACACACAGGCAAGAACAGTCAAGTTTTGTGTGTTTGCCTTTGTCCAGGTTCCTTGAGGATGTGAAATGAAAAAGCAGTTTGAGATTTTTTTTTTTCTTCCCTCCTAACAAACAGCTGTATTACCCAGTTGTACTATCAGTTAGAAATGAGGCCTGTAAAGGTAAAGCTCCAGTTATCCACACATGCAGGTCAGAATCCAGAAATTCCTCTTGGAAATTTAGTTACTCTGAGTACCATAAAATGTAATCGGTCATGAAACATGACTCAGAGAGGCTCCGCCAGTGAAATAATAGGCAGAGGGTGATGTAGGCTTTGGTTTTGCCTCAATTGTAGTTTTGAGGTTTACTTTTTTCCTTCCCCTCTGTTTTAAGACCAGGCAAAATATAGTCCTGACCTTGACACCTGAACAGATTCCAGGCTCCTCTCCCAAGCCCTTTTGTTTTCAGAAAACACCAAATGAGTTCTAGTCTGAAATAGGTATAAACAGAAGAGAAAGCAGTTGTGTTGAAGGACGAGCCTAAGCTCAAGCCTTGGGAGAGAAAAACTGTACTCAGTGCTGACTTGACACTTCCATGCTGGCTGTATTCTGGCAGTGGGAGTAAGGCCGGATCTTGGGCTAGTGAAAAGGCTGACGGCACAAATGTAATCCATCTCCAATTTTAAACCACACTTTAACTGGTAAATTACATCTGTACCAGATCAGCTTTTTGTGGCAGGTACCTGAAACATTTCTGATCTGGCCTGAGACCCGTCTCAGCATTCGGTTGTGTAGTAATCTAAAAAGGATAGGAGGACTGGTGTAAGTTTAAGAAACATTGGTTAAACCGGTTGTTTCAGTCTAGATTCAGTTTGCAGTTTCAGTGTTTGTGTAAATTATTTAGAGGCTTTTCTTAATTATCCAGTGCTCTGCATGTATACTGAGCTATTCTGTAATGTTCAAGAGTAACTGCAGTCAGAAAGGTGCCTAAAAGGTACCTCTTTTTCTTCAGCTTTGCTTCATCCCTCTGAATATCTTCCTACTACCCTGCCAGAAGGACACCCTCGATAGGTTTTGCTCCTGGTGGCTCTGCAGAGCTAGGGCTTCTGTGGGAGGGGACCAGGTAATGTCCTGGCTTGTCCACACGTGCAGTCATCTGATCATCAGTTGTAAAATCCTACCTAGTGACCATGACATATGACCTTCCACTTTTCAGTATTAGGTTTTCAAAGTTGGCTACTGTGAACACCATAATCTGATTCTTAAACTAATACGGACATTATTGCAAAACAGTGACCGTGGAACCTACAATACTGTTTGCTACACGCAGCCCCTTTTGAGAGTTTGAAGTGTGTTTTAATGTCATGCTTTTTAGTAATGCTTTAGTACTAGCAGAACAAAAATACATTAGAATTCATATACTGTCCTTCTCATTTAAAATCTAGTTTTACTTAGGTCATTGTTTTTGTGTTTTTTTTCCCTCCTACCAGATATTCAATCTCATGAAATATGACAGCTACAGCCGCTTCTGAAAGTCAGACGTATTCCTAAATCATAAGAAGTCTGAGGAGCAAGAGGAGAATTCACCAGAGGCTCAGACTGCAGCTAAAAGAGCATCAAGAATTTACAACACATGATAGAATGAATCTCTTCAGGAGAGGCAATACAATAACTAAATTACACTCAGGAACAGTCTAGGTTTATAGCAGTTGCATTTAGGGCTTGAAAAGCTCAAAACCTTTTTAGGAGATACTTACCTTCTTAATTGCTTGAACGACTAATTGTTTTTGCATGATGGCTAATAACCAAGCACCCATGGAAAGAAAGACTGTTTTCTAGCTGAAAGGCTGAGGTATTCCTCCATAGCATGAATTGCATTTCATATTTCACAAGTTAAAATGCTTTCAATTTTTCTGTTTTCTTTTGTGAGGCATCATGATGATGAGAAACGGGAGGTAGGGTGGTTGTTTTCTAATTTTTGCCTTGTAATTTTTATTTGTGACTGGCTTTTACATCCTGAATTGCTAGGAGAAGCTATTGAGGAGTACATTTCACGTTACTTTGTGGCTGAGTCATTCATAGCAAACGTAATCATGAAGGAACAGCATCTTTCAGGGTTAAGCTCAATAGAATTCAATGCCTTCCTATGTAACTTTGTTCTTTCAAGGTGATACCTGTTTTGCTTTGCCTTTATTTTTGAATCAAAACACTTCTCTAGCCATGATTTTCATCTCTGTATTTCTTAAATTTCCCCCATTTTTTTTCAGTAGACAGTCACCTTCTTCAGAGGATGGAATAACCTGTATTCCCTTGGGAACAAAAGCTCTAAGGTAGAGCGAATCTCTGAAGAACTTCTAACAGCCATTAGGAAACCTGACCATTAATATCCCACTCTGGGCACACTGATTTCAGCAAAGCATGTCCTGCATGTCAGCATAACAACAGTGTCAGATGCCGGTATTGGGAAGCATCTGGTCTCTCCTAGGTCTCCTGAGCAATCCTGCTCTGCGCGGCAAGAATACTTTGGCAAAGGACCAACCAACAAAGTCTGGCTTTGTTTTACTAAAATCTTTCTACTAAAATCACCCTGCCTAATTTTGTTTGCCCCAGAGAAGTATTTCAGGTTTTCCTAATCGTAACTTTCGATACCTGCAGCGGAACAAGGGGTTGACATTGTGGTTTAGCCATTCTCACATCAAGCTTGACAGGAAGGGCAATTTATTTCTGCCTGGAGCAATCAAAGATGAAATGTCAGGGTGATAAAGGAAGACGCTCCCAATGAGCCTTCCATACCGTCCTGGGACTGTGTCAGAGCTGAAAAGCATGTTTTGGCATACAGTTTTTCATGTGTTCGTACATTTTTTAATTAATTCACTGCAGTGTTACTAAATTGCAGTTTAAGTTGGGAAAGCATATTAGCTAAGTGCTCTATTTACCAGCTTCGCAGTGTGTAGTCTAGCTGTTTCACATTCTCTCATTATTTACTCTTTCATTTTTTGCACTGCTTTTCTCGAACTCTTGTTTATGTGCTGGGTAGTCTAAATGCACAGTTAGCTTTTGATCGTTTTATGGTTCTTTTTTGTTGGAAAGGCCAGATATGTTTTATACATTATTGTCACTATCAACATTTTTAAACTAAGTCTAGATTGTAATTTTTGAGGATGCAAACTCACTTGGTAGACTTGATTATTTCTTTTAACTCTGAGCCACTCTTGCAGGTACTGTGTAAAGAAAATTGTTTCCATGGGCTCTTCCCTAGTTAGATCTAAGAGCGGGAACAGGAGTGCTGATTCTTTCCCCAGAGCTAAATGGCCTGTTCGTTTTTAGGAAGTCAAAGAAGAGGTCAGTGCCTCCATATGCATGTTTTAAGATGTCATTCTTATGCACTGAGTTCATTTTCCTTTTATGCTCTCAAAAGATTTAACGGTGAAGTCACAATCGTGCTTCAGGCACTTTGAGCGGTATTTGACCTCATGCTTAAGTTGTATTTCAGTGTTTTGCTGAATACGAACGAAGTAAGGACGTGCATGAATCCTTTTGTTGTGATGGGCCCTAGGAAGTGGGACCATCCAGTTCTGGACTTGCCAAGTATTTGTAATCTTAGGATTACCTCTTTTGAAAATTCACTGTAATAACGAACTCTTAACACCTGCCACAGCAGAGGATGGAACCTCTGATACCATTGAAGTCCTTGGGAGTGGGCTGCTTAAACACATTTAGGAGTTGGGATTTGTCTCTTCCCAGTTATTGCAGCAGAAGTCTTAGTGGTATAGAAAAATGCAGGATGAGGACCTCCATGGGAGAAATGCAGAATGAGCTCTTACCACATTCATCACGTGGATGCACAGTAGGTTCTTTTTTAATCATATTGATTTTAAAAATGCATGAGGAAGGGAGAAGTGTCTTTGACTATAATGTTTTAAAATAATAATAAAAAATAAAACCGGAAGCTGTATGGACAATGGTAGGGCATTAAAGAGAGAAAGTACCTGTTTGTAGCTGCTTATAAACAACGTTTTCCTTGGCAATATGCTCCCTATCAGGTACTGTATTATTTGCTTGTGAAGAGCAAATGCCCCATAGGAGTAGAGACAAAGGTGCTTTACACTACTACCAACCAAAAGTTACTCAAATGGAAATGTATTTTTTAGTAGCATCTCAATGCCTATGATGTTTATTTCAATACCTACGATGTTTCTAAGGCAATGCACCTAAATCCACAGAATTCTTGATCTTTGAATTGCTCTTTTGCCTCAGCAGTAAAAAGTTCATTGCCCCATTGGCTGTCTTATTTGTGGTGTCTGGTTTTGGTTTGTGTTTTTAGAAGAAAACCAACAACTAGACTTGCAAGGTGCAGAAATCAAAGTTGTTTTCTTATCCATTAGATTTTCTGTATTTTCCGGTAAAAGAGCAATCAAAGTAAAACCGTGCAAGCAATGTCTGTAATTGCAGCATGTACATACGTGGAGAAAGTTATTTTGCTTCTGTTGATATTATCACTGATCAAACTTACTGTGTGAAATATATGACATTTTCTCTGTGTGGCATAGAACAAATCTCAGAGAGAGAAAAAGAACTGAGTTTCCCTATAAGTAAATCCTGCATTCCAGGAACAACTGTAAACATTGCATCGAGCCTCAGGCTGTAAGTGGGTACTCAGAGTTGCTTTACGTAGAGATTAAAGATAGGATCTACTTCTTTTCATAGAACTTACACCGAAGGTATGAGCACAAAAAGCAAGCAAGAGAAGTTTCATGCCTGATTGCATGCCTTAAACTCTACCCTCTTGTGTGTTTCTCAGCTAAAAATTAAAATATTCTACAAATACACCAAATCCGTGTGCTGACAGTTGTTTTATGATTTGAACTCAGTTTGGGCCAAGATCACTTCATATCCCATAGTTACCCCATTTTCTGCTTTCAGTCCCTGTTAACACAGTTGCTGCTTACATTCTGTCATAGTATGTTTTTCTCTTGGAAGATAGGAAGATGGGATGACACAGTGGGTTTCACTTCTGACTGAGCCGTTGTCCGAACAAATTGCAGAAAGTCACTTGAACAGCAGAAGATGCTTCTTGTACCTTCTTCATCTCCTCCCATTTCTTTGTTCCCGTTGCATTTCTTCCATCGTGCTTGCTTCAAGTTGCTAACCCATTGCTGTGGAGAAGGAGGATTTGGAAAACCGTAGGGAGGGAAAGAAAGAGGTTTGAATACTCAGGTTTGGATAACAGTTCGGAACGTGCTTATATTTTTACTGAAGATTCAGATTGATTTTAAGTGGGTAGCATTTGCATCTGGGTTAAAAACTAGGTCTATGATGCAGAGAGGTCCCAAATCGTTCTGTGATTCTATGACTGTGGTTCAAAGCTGAAAAGGGATGTATTCCCCCTTTTATAAGTTGTTTGTTTATAACTTTTTTCATCCTAAAACAGAGCAGCAAGTCTTACAAAGTCACCCAGTTTTGCCAAATGTCTGCCCCGAATGATTGTTGACGTGATAGTGTTCATTTCCCTGTCCCAGAGGCAGTCCCTCTTGTTTTAAATCCAACACAGCTGATGTCCAAGGGCTTCAAGGGCTCTTTTGGCAGAGCCACAGTTAAAAGCAAGCTGCAGGGCATCCTTTATCCAAAGGATCTGTGCAACTTTACTGTCTTGCCATAGGAGCGCTCAGCAGCCGCTGCATGACTGCTGATCACTCCAATTCAGGAGCTTTACTATAATTAAGTGAAAGATGCTTGTCATCGGTGCTATTATATCGTGGCTGATCAGTGTGGCAAATCCACTTCAGTCAGGAGTTAAGAAGCAGCCGATACGAAGGGGCTTGGGATGGTGGGGGAAGAAATAGGGAAAGGCGTTTTACAGAATGTGGTTGCTCTCCGGATAGATGAAATGATAGCCAAATTTAACAGCACCCTCTCCTGGTTCTTGGCAGAATAACATGTAGGAATATTGGTCTTAGAGTAAGACTTCAAATACAGGAAGGTCACAGCTGCTTGTTTCCTCAAATGCGATGGACTTGGTGAACTTTCTGTAAGCAATAAATGCAGCTAAGTTAAAATACTATGCTAAAATACTAAAATGGCTCTGTTTTTCATTAAAGGCAGTTGGTGTTGCTTTGATCAAAACTTAAAACTTGAGGGGATCACTGTGTGTCAAAACTGATAAAAACTGCTTTGAAAGCTGGCATTATAGAGCAGATAAGGCTCTCGAGCATACTTCATGCTACAGAACAACTTCAGAAAAGGGCCAGCAGTTGTCCCTTCCCCCACAGCTGTTCCTGCCTTGGGCTGTGCTCATTTGAATCGCTGAAAGACAGGACATTTCCTAAAGGAAACAGTGACCAGCATGCTGAGTATTGTAGCCCAGGCACGGGGCACAGATGCTGTTACGTGCTTATTTCTGCCGTACTTTTCTATTGCTTTAGCTTTTCCAGAGGTACCAACCTAAAAGTCAAACACATTGCCTGTCTGCATTCCCCTGTTACTCTCTGGCCTTGTAAAGCTTGTTTCACTTTACACACAAATGTGCAAAGCAAAAAAAAAAGGTTGGCTGAGAAAAGCAGTACTACACGGGTAGGGACAGAGAAGGGGGAGCGTTACCCACTGTTTCATGTCTCAGGCAAACACCGAAATTGCCATCAATGGGCTGTCCTGACACTGGGTGATGCATGTATGGGGGCTTTTCGTTTGCTTTGCAATATAAATTTCC